CCCCCCCCCCCCCCACTACATGTTACATGAATTGGCAAACTCTTTTGTGCCAGTAGCTTTGGTGAGCCCATTGCTGGTAATCCAACTCCTTAGGCAACAAAGCTAACACTTGTGTTGTCTATGAAGTTTCCACACCAATCATTTCTCTCTCTTCTGGGTGTGTGCATGGAGAATTGGTTTGTGATCATCCCTGCAATACTGCCTTTCCCTTTTTAGTACGTTCTTTCGAAGGCGCGGAGCAGCAGACTGATTAGCTGTCATGTTCCCAAAATCCCACTGTACTTGAAGATAGCATGCTATAGATTTATATCGTTTCCATGTTCTCTGTCGAGAGCTAAGAATCAGAGGTCTGTCCCTTGAATTCCTTGTTGAAAGAAGGCCTTTTTCAGCCCAGGTATTTATTCTCCGTTACATCCCTTGATCTCGCTTTAGTTTTCACCAGCGACCTCAGCCAGCCCTCGGTGCATTTGTTGGTGGTGGAAGGTAGCCACGCCACACAGAAGGATGGTGTGTTGTTGAGAGAGTACCGTAAGCTTTATAATGCCAAGCTGTTTCTATGCACCTCCTGCAAGAGGTTTTCTTTCCCCTCTCCCTCCTTATGTGGTGCTCCAGGAACTTGTTGTTCTTCGCTGTGCAACGAAAACGCAGTCTTCTGGAGGAGTAAGCTTCACGTTCTGTCCCCGAAGCACGTGTTACCTCCAAAATGCTAGTTCCAGTTGATTTAGATAAATATGAGACCAATATTGCTGCATAAGATGCCACTCCCTTTGAAGAATGTTGGGTTTGGTGCCTCTTTTTTCCTTGGAATTTCTTGCGTTAGAAATATTAGAAAATGCTAAAGGGAAAATTTACGATCCGTTATGGTTTCGACTGTCTTCTGGGAGAGACGGGAGAAAGCAGAGAGCAAGTCGACTTGTTTTAATGTTCTCCCTCCCACTAAATAAAACTGAGATTACCCTTCAGGTTCTGCAAATTTCGCTTATTTATTTTTACTGTTGATACAGGAAGTGCAATAAGTCCCATTCTCTCCTTCCTACTCCCTTTCCCTTGGTATTGATTCACCTCCAGCTCTGTTTATTGACATAATTTTGTTTTTCTGCTTTTATTATTTAGCTACATGAAAGTAACTACGATGCCGGGAAAGCCCTGCAGCGCTTGGTGAAGAAGCCTGTGCCCAAACTGATCGAGAAGTGTTGGACTGAAGACGAAGTGGTGAGGAGTGATTTATTCCCTTCTGCCATGCAGAAGGGTTGCTTATTTCTTCCTCAGCTCAGAGGTCTTCTTTTAAGGCAGCTGCAAGGAGCCTGTTCCACGGGGTGAAGCTTTCCCTTCATTTCTAAGTGAGCTGACCCTTAATCGATAGACAGTAGACATGGCCCAGTTAGTGCAAGGAAAAATATCTTTCCACTGTGGAGATGGGGAGATTACTCTTGCTTCCAGGGGACATCCCGTGACAGATGCAGCAGCAGTACAGGTCTCAGGCTTTCCAGTTCACACCGTGCCCAGTATTGCTTTTGGGCTGGCCTGGCACTTTATTTAGCAGTTGCAGTCAGAGGGGACGTACACTGGGACCAGAGCATACGGCATGGTTTTTGTTGGTTTTTCCTACTTCTCTCAGGAACCTGAGGGAACAGAAGGAAGGATTGCAGTCTTCAGTTCATGCTGCTCGATACACAGTCAATAGTCAGTGTTTCTCCTAGGTGAGGTTTATATAAGGATTGTGACCTCCTGCCAAAAAATAGGGACCAGCACAGCTATTGCTGGCTGGATCTTCAGGGTGACATAAACCAAACGGGGATCCTCTGAAAGTGGTGTTGTCTGGCTACATGTATCACATCTAACTTGTCAGGAGATCTTCCTGGTCCAAAATGATACTGAATGCGGCATGTGTATTTTATATGCAATTTCCAGAGTCAGGTAAGGCTGGGAAGAGTTGGTATGAGCAGGTAGACCCAAAGCAGGACAGAGACGCCCTGAATGAGCTGAATGCAGGCGTTTCAAAACCTCACAGCCATGAAGATCATTGCGGGATCTGGGCCCAGTCGCCTTCATTTGTAATATTCAGTTTTGTACTTAATAGTTGTTTTTTGTGGCTGTTGTAGAACCATATAATTGAAATGGGAACGGCAGTTTAAAGTTTGTGGGGTTTTTTGGTTTTTAATTTGCCGACGCCCTATACAGAATGGAGAAATGTTCATTGTATCCCTTATTTAATGAACAGCCTTTGCAGGGGAACGCTTGAATTTCCAACAGTGTTTGATTTCCAAGCACTGCCGCATTGCAACTGTTTGCTCTTTGCAAAACTTTGTAGCAATATGCTACCGCAAGAGATACTTGACTGTAAACAGGATGAAACTGTTTTGTCTATTTTAATCCTCAAAGATGAAAGAAGGGCTAAGAGTAAAGAGTGCAAGTAAGTTAAAGTAGATCACTGCCGCAGAGTTGTTTTGCCCTTTAAACCACAGTGATGTTAGTGTCCCCTCTGAGGAAATGCGTATTTCTAAACAGTGACTTATAATGGGAGAGTGTCCCTTTAACAAACTATGCATAGTCATGTCTGGTTTGCTGAGGAAAGGGTAAATGCTGTGTTTCCTAGCTAAGCAATTAAACACCAGTGCACGTTAAGGCAGCAAGCTCAGACAGTTGCCATTTTATAATTATTAAATATATTTATCTACAAACAGTGGACAACATTTGCAGTTTGTACCATGTGCAGTCTGTAAAGTGTACATCTTCCAACATGTCACAGTAATCTTTCCGGATAAATATCTTCCGGTGAGAAATTCAGTGTTTTCATGGGTTTTCTTTTGTTGCTTTTTTTTTTTTTTTTTTTAACCAAACGTAAATGGAGAAAAATTCCTAGCGAGAGAAGCAGATGTGAACCAAACAACATTTGTTTGTGGGAGAACTTCTACACTAGTTAATTTTCTAGATGGAATTAAAGTGTGTTAAGAAATAATCTTGTGGTGGGTGGAACATAGTCTTGTTAATCAAGTTACTAATTAAGCTGGCATCAGAGTCATAAAATAGAACTGATTAATAACGGGTGAAATTTTCCTAGTCTGTTAACATTTTTGAATTATTCAGAAAATGGCTGGAGAGAGATTTTGAAGCTCTAGATGCTCTGAAAATCTTGCGAGAAGTTTATTCTAGCAAAGTATGTGCATGCTGCTCTCTCCATATATGAACATTTTTACAAGTGAGAGAGAGGTAGGTTAGGGGTAGGCCAGAAAACCCCCATATTAAAAGCAGTCTTATTCTGAAATCAAACAAAAGACCTTTGTGGTGAAGGAAATGCCTGAAGCCATGAGGTGAAAGAGGATCTATGGGCTTTCGGAGGAGGGATGGTAGTGGAGAACAAGGAGCAAACGCCTAGGAGCACAAGTCCTTAATAACACCTAGGATGATCCTGGCATAAGCGGGGCATTTTGTTTAAAGCAAGGAACCATTCATACAAATACTGCTGAAGTTCTGGTCTTTTTTGTGCATTTGTACTGCGAACGTTTTATCCCCACTCTCCTTCCACACTTGCTTTTCTTAAAAGGGTTAGCTGTGTGGTGCCAATCCCTACTTTCCTATTCAGAAAATGCTGTCCCCTTTTCCCTTCCCCTGTCTTTACCAACAGGCTGCAGTGGGGCTCTAAGTGTCGTCATCGTTGCGGCTCAGGGTTTTGATCAACAGTCAGTGTTAAATGATGGAGAGTGGAGCCTTACAAATAAGAAAAAAAGCAAGGTTTATTGAAAAATGAAACATTACTCCCAAACAGTGAACAGTATGAGTACAGAATAATGATCATTAACTCTATAAATCATTGTCAGTCTCGGCTCATTTTATCGTATTTGCTTCTTGTTCTATTCCATCCAAGTTTCCAGAAATGTTTGGCAGCCATCCAAGTATGGCAGAGCCGGAGATCAGCCTGTTCTCTTACTTATAGGGAGCAGAGCTCCACCCTCGCAACCTCAGAGCCCGCTTCTCTCGGATTGACATCTGGCAGAAAATTCCAGGCTAAAGCACCGGGCACTGGGGCATTTCTTCCAAGGGAAAGGAAGTCCTGCGCTAGTATTTGCAGGGCTCCTACCACGCATCGTATGTCGGGTCCAGAGCTGCTTCAGAAATCTCCCACAAAACTTTTTCCTCCCCCCACCAGAAAATGCCAGTGCATTGGAAGCAAAACTTTTTACAGAAACAGGTTTTGACAACAACTGTTTCAGGAAGGTTTCTCACATCCAGGGTAGGAGACAGGTGGGGAGGAAAGGCGATCCACCCAGGACAGCCAGCCATTGCCCAATAGTTGAAGGTGCTCACTGCGGTGTGGCCAGAGTGAGGGGTATACCCCGTCTCCACAGCGCCGAGTGATAGAGTTGGTGTCGTCTTTGACCGAATGAATATTTACTGGCACAAAGTGGAACCTCCCTGAGAGACGTTAGCTAGGTGCCCAGTAGATAAGTAGGTGACCACCTGTCAGATCCACGTTCCCACATTCCCGGCAGATGGCTTAACCGTGGGGTTATCAGCTACTCTGCAAAGTATTTTTGGCAAGGTCGCATTTGCGTTCCAGTGCAGGCGGAAAACAAATTTGGGGAATTGCAGCATTTTTTGTGATGCTGCACGCTTGTCTTTTCAGCCAGCACCAGTCGGGCTCTTCAAGGCGACTCAGCAGTGAGCCTCCCTGATTGCTCGTGGGGAAGCAAAGCAAACCAGAAGAGTATAATGGAGGGGTTCTCTCTAAAGCTACATCCTACAGTCTTTCTTCCCTAAGGCAGAACACCCACAAACTGGCGGGAGAATAGTTTGAGTCAGAGCTGCAGGATGCGAGAGCATCCATTTCTTTCCCAGGGGTTGACTTGCACAATTGCTCTTGTCAACGTGGCCGTTCCTGAGTATGTGCAGCCTGGCCTCCCATAGCATGCAGTGCTATTCATGATGTCAGCAGTGCTGTTTGAATAGCTCACATTTGTTTGTTAGTTAACGTCTGGCTCGCATGTGGACTGTTCCTTGTCCAAAGATTAAGGCCTCCTCGTTAATTAAAACAACTTTCTGCAGTCAGTGACTGAATTATCCAGTAAGAGCTGCCTGCAGCAATCAGAGTTGATTAAAATAAAGGATGGAAGTTATGTTGTTTTTGCTACAGATGATGCGGTTATAGAGGTTTAGATCAAATTAAATGGAGGATAAAATTGACCAGTGATTGAATTAAGTGGAGGGCTCTGTAAATATGAAGATGAAGGTTTTCTCATCTCCCTGATGTTTGTCAAACTGTGGCTATTTTTAAATCTCTCTCCTTCCAATATGTAAATTCATGAGCATGCTGTGAAAACCACAGTCTGCCTTATAAAAGTGGCTGAAGAAACTACTTTACTGTTGCATCAGTATGAAGCCTCAGCAGCAGCTGCTTCCTGTTTATACGGGTTACTGTTACACCTGGCAACATAAATCTCCAGCAGTGACTTGGGTGGGGAGGGGTCAGTGGCACTTGTAGCCCTCGTGAATCTGCTCCTACTGATGAATTGTCAAATCATTGTCATGCCGAGCTGCACATCAGCACCTTCCCAATAAGCATTTAAAAGACCTGTCGTTTCACCGGGTAATGCAACAGAGTCTCACTAGAACGTCACCTGGTGGGTTCTGGTTTGGATGGAAAGCTGTGGCTTTCCAACCAGGCCTTTTCTGGCATCTGGGGAAGGTCAGGGAGCTCACAGCTGTCATCCGTGTCCTTCATTTTGACGTAACAGCTGGCTGTGTGCCCTCCTACAAGCTCCGTAACACTGAATGTCTTGCTGGACACGTGCCGTGTGCTGCTTAGTGTTACAGCAAGGTTGCACAGTAGGTGGGAAAGGGGAGCTGTGACTAGATCCACTAGAGCTCTTCTAGATATGCGCTCCACATGATATCTGCTGTGCAAATGAGGGTGTAAAGCAGCCAGACGTCTTACTTCCACTCTCTTAAGCCATTTAACCCTGAATCGCTCCAAGACAGGTATTTTTGAGTGTATCCTATCAGATCAAAACAGCAGATGTCAGGTTTAATCATTAAAATTATATATTCTTAAGCCAGATTATAGTGCTAAACTGAGCTCCTGTTGTAACCTAGTACACACAGTTAGGGTGAGGTCAAAGGCCCCTCTGAACAGTCAGTGGGATTGGGATCTCTGCCTCCCATTCTTCCTCCCTGTGGTTCCATTGTGGAAAATCTCAGCCTTTGAAGGTAAGTTT